CCCCGAAAATTCAGCTTTTTTTTTTTTTGAGATGGAGTATTGCTCTGTCGCCCAGTCTGGAGTGCAGCGACACAGTCTTGGTTCACTGCAACCTCTGCCTCCCGGGTTCAAGCGGTTCTCCTGCCTCAGCCTCCTGAGTAGCTGGGATTACTACCTGGCTAATTTTTGTATTTTTAATAGAGACAAGGTTTCACCATGTTGGCCAGGCTGGTCTGGAACGCCTGACCTCAGGTGATCCACCCACCTCAGCCTCCCAAAGTGCTGGGATTACAGGCATGAGCCACTGCACCTGGCCCACCTTGTCTTTAATGCTCCTGTTTGACCTTTAAAAGCGTCAGGCTAATTTTTACATTTCGCTCCTTATATGTGTACACTTTTTAACATGAAAACAATTCCATGCCACCAAATCCTGGAGAAACATGAAAGCTGCAGGGAGATGCCTCTTATTCAGCCTGATGTCACCACAGAGCAAAACTCACCCTCCCGGCCCCAGCACGTGGCCCTGGCCAGTGCGTACAGAGGCGGTGGGCACGCGGGTGCCAGAGTCCGACTGCTGGAGCCCAAATCTCGGCTCTGCTGCCTTCTTGCCTGGGTGACTGTGAGAAACTACGTTGCCTCTCTGTGCCTCAGTTTGCTTATCTGTGAGAACAACAGCAGCGCCTACCTCACTGAAAGCTGGGATTCTGGCCTTGTTTAACGCAGGAAAGGTGCTCAGAATAGTGCTGGGCCTGCTGAGAACTCAATGGTCAGTATAGGAGGGGTCAGCTTGGGACACCCAGGGAAGTGGGGATGACTGGGAAGGGGGCCTCAGGGGGCTTCTCCACAAAGCTCAGGAAGCCATCAGGGTCCTGGCAGGCCACCACGAGGATGCCCCCTGGCCCTGCTGACCCACCACATGGAGTGAAGCAGGCGGGATGGCAGGCAGGGGAGAGGCCATGATCCCCACACTGGCTGCTTCACTGACTTGGCTCCTGGAGGGAGCTTTCCGTCCCTGCCGCCTCCCGGCAGCACTTCCGAAGCTGGGATTTCACACCAAAACAGGAGCTTTTAATGACAAAGGCTGCAAACCTCTTCCCGTTCACGGCAAGAGAGCCTGCACTCATCGGTGCCGTGCACCTGAGCGAGCCGTCCCTGCCGAAGTGCTCTCCACTGCTGGGGCTTAAGATTTCCCGGCATCCTGGAGATGGAGACTCAGCCTCCCGTCAAGAGCTCAGCCTGCTCTGCACTTGGAGAAAGTGGGAGCCAGGCTTCCGCCCTTTACACATTCGGGAACCCCTGGGCAAAGGTGGCAGATGGGAGAAGGCAGAGGCAACAGGGTCGGGCCCCAGAAATCAGACCCGTTAGGGAAACCTGACAGCAGGAGCTCCAGGGCCACCTCCTGAAAGTGTCAGATCCCATCCCCAGAACCCCACCCTGGAGCTGGCAGGAGAGGAGCCTACATCTCCAGTGGGTAAGGGAGACCCGCAGCTCTGACGGATTCCAGACGCAGCTGCTAGAGGGGCACCAGGAGCTGCCATTCCCCCAACCCTCAGCCCTTCTTCCATGAAAGGAGCTGAGAGCACCTCTGGATTGGTTTCCCATCACTGCCATAGAAATGACCAAAAACCTGGTAAAAGCGACACACATGTTATTATCCCACCGTCCTGTGGTTCAGAAGGCTGCAGCAGTCTCCCTGGGCTAAAATCAGGAGGTGGGTAGAGTCACGCTTCTTCCAGAGGCTCCAGGGGAGAAGCCATCCCGGTGCCCATTTCAGCTTCTGGGGCCGCCTGCATCCCTTAGCTCAGGGGCCCTTCCTCTGCCCGCAGAGCCCACAGCACAGCACCTGGCTGGCTCCATACCTTCCTCTGATTCTCTGCCTCCTTATTCCACTCTTCAGGCCCCTGGTGATCACACTGGGGACACCCAGAGAATCCATGCTCATGTCCCTATGTTAAGGCCAGCTGATTAGCAACCTGAATTCCTTCTGTGCCCTTAATCTCCCCAATACATGCCTTGGTCTGTTTGTGCCTCTCTAACAGAATGCCACAGACCAGGTAATGTGTAAAGAACAGACACGTATTCCTCACAGTCCTGGAGGCTGGAAGTCCAAGTTCAAGGCACCGGCATTTGGTGTCTGGTGAGGGTTGCATCCTGGGGAGGGAAGGAACGTGGTGTTCTCACATGGCAGGAGGCAGAAGGACATAAGGGTCACGCCCTTTATCCGGGCCCCTGACGCCACTCACAAGGGAGGAGTCCCCACAGCCTGATCACCTGCTGAAGCCCCACCTCCTCATACATCACATTGGCAGCACCTGAGTTTGGGAACGGACACATTCAAACCACAGCACATGTAACCTGACACAGTCACAGGTCCTGGGGGTTAACACATGGGTTCCTTTGAGACTGTCATCTTGCCTGCCGACACGCCTGTGGCACAGACGATCATGACAATAGTAAACACTGATTTAGCACCTGCTTCTTGCCGGGAACTATTCCACGTGCTTTAGATGCATCTCGCGCCGCTCGATCTCTTACCAGCCCTGTGTGGTAGACGATATTATTATCCCCTTCGTGTATGTATGAGGGAGCTGAAGCTCTGAAAGGTTTACTCTCTGGCACTCACACATATGGCCCAGGAGCCCTGTGTCATAACTGCTCCTAACCCCAGGCTTTGAGAAACAAAGGACACACATCTGAGAGCCCAGAGGCTGCAGAGCCGGAGCCGGGACCCCCAGGCCACACGAGCCCTGGGTGGAAGCCAGCCCGAGCTTATGCTCTAGGGCCTTGGGGAGAGTGAATGGGTTCCGTGACAAGTGCCACTGTGAAGGGCCAGCAAATCCCATGCACCCCAAAAAGACAGACACTCCGATGCCATGGCAGTGCGAAGGTGGGAGCAAGAAACCTTCAAGGAAGCTGCTTATTATCTCCGCCGAGCGTCCCCCACCATCTCTGGGCACCCACAGAAGTGAGAACACAGCACGCCCGGGCGGCCGCTCAGAAGGCGGCTCATCTGAACGCTTGTCACAGCTCCAGGCCAACTGTTAAAATAACTTTTTGGTTGTTATTACAAAGTAATAGATGTTTATTGTAGAAATGTTAGAAAATGCAGACAAGCCAAAAGAAAGGAATAAAAATTACCCCAAATCCCATAACTGCAAATGCACCACTTGACATGTTTCTGTATATCCTTCCAGTAATTTTCCTAAGCATTCGTTGCTGTTTTTCTAAAATGAGCTCTCTAAAAACGGGCTCACACTTTTCTTCCTGTTTGGCAAAATGCCTTTTCTCCTGAATATATCTTGAATATGTGGGGAAGAAAGCGCTCTCCTCCTCATCCCTCCTCCACCTCAGTTCCTCATCAAGAAAGGGAAGCTGACGGGGGCCAGAAACCAGATCCCAATAGGGCCACGTTTCCTAATGGGCAAGGTAGTTGTGTGTTAAAGCCTCTCACATACCTACACACACACGTAAACACACATGCACACATATACACACGTGCATGTACATGCACACATATAGATATGGACACACACACACACACATTCACGGTCACATACACACAGAAGCACTCATGCACACACACACATGCACCTACACAGGCATGCACACACACACACGGCGCAGCGTGGCTCTGTCCTCTCCTGCCTGGGGCTGCCCCTTAAACTGGCCCTGTTCTGCCTGCCCTCGTGCCCCTCACACGGGAGGTGTCCCTCACACCTGGTGCTCTCATCCGTGGCCTCTGCAGTCTGGCTGTGGGTGGACCTGACCCTGAGAGCGGGAACGAGCTCTGCTGCAGCCTGGAGCCCCAGCCCTGCCTTCTGGTTGCTCTTCAGAGCACCCATCATGGCTGGCCCAGCACGAACCCAGCCAAGGAGACTCCGTGCGCACTGCCTGGGTGGTCCTGCTCACCAGCACACACCCTCCTGGGGTCCTGAGTGCCCGGCCCAAGCCACCTGAGAAACCTCAACCACTGTGTCTAACAGGGTTCCCCTCACACAATGTCCCTGTGGGAAACTGCACAGCACCCTGTGACAATGCAGCCGCCCCCATGCATAAACAAGGGATGGCTCCCAGCTGCCCCCATTTAGTACAAACAATACTGTGAGCAATACTTGCACATCCACAGTTGTTTCCAGAAGATAAAGCCCATTCCAGCAGAAGAAGGACCAGGCTGAGGTCTCGGAGCCAGTGTAGACTGGCAAGGCCGGGGCAGCCAGAGCCCAGGATGAGGAGAGTTGAGGAGACTGGTGCAGAGAGGCCGGGGGATGCAGTCCCCATGGCCTGTGGAGGAGTACGCTTCTGGAATCTTCTTTATGCGCAGGAAGAGCCTCTGAAAGTTTCTAAAATGATGAGTATGGCCATTTGGGGAGAGATTTTAGGAGGACTTCCTGGCCTCACTCATCCCGCCAGTTACTCCTGGTCTCCTCCTGAGACAGGCAGTTGTGCAATGCCAGCCTTGCTAGGACAGAACCACAAACTACCCTTCCATTCTTCCCTGGGAGTTCCTGCCTCAGAGAAGCATACAGGCTCCCAGTGGGCAGGGCCAGATCTCCTGTGTCCAGGAGACACAGGGAGACACAGACACATGCCCAGCACAGGCAGCAACCCTTGTAGCACCGAGCAGGTCAGGGAGTCCTTGACTACATCTGGGTACCCAGGCCCAAGCCTTCCCCCTTCCTCCCACCAGCCGCTTTTGGGGGGGCTTCCCAGGCTCTAAAAGGAGGAGGAGACACAGAACAGCCGGTAGCCCAACAGAGGAAATGCTGTGAGGAGAAGGCGGATGAGGCACCAGTGCTGGAGTCCGGCAGCTAAGCGGCATCATCACCAAGAACACAGGGACAGGAAGGGGCGCCACAGCCAGGCCTCGCCCCAGAACCTGCAGGGATGGTGCAGGGATGGCCCTCCCCTAGGGGACACAGAGCATGACACAACCTGCTGAGGGGAAGAAGGCAAAACGGGGAGACCAGATGGGTCCCCAGCAGGACCACTGTACTGACGGTCTGACTCCACTTGGTGATGTTTGTGGACAACTTTGATTGCTCCCGGCACCCGGGCAAGCTGTAGCAGAAACCTGGCGCTGGTGGGAGACTCGAACCACACCAGCTTCTGCCCGCGTGGGAACTCTCACCCCTCGTGGGGTCTGTGTCAGGCAGAGGGCGAGGGCATCAGCAACCCTGACATCAGAATCACATCGGGTGAGGATCCCTCATGCTTCTGCAGGTGACCATAGCAGCTACCCGCTGGCCTAGGCAAGTTGGATGCTGCCCTGGGCCCCACCTGGCAGGGAGTCCACACTTCAGAGTCTCCTTCCTCAAAATTGTCAAAGTCCCCTATTAGTACCCAGGACTAGGCAGGGTACCCCGAGAACAGACCAGGGTCCCAGTCCCCATTTATCTCCTTTGGGGCATTCTCTCCCTTGATCTTCCACCTGGAGCTCAGGACCAACTCGATGCTCCAAGAAGCCCAGAGACTTGTTGCAGTGGGGTCATCCAGGGACCCTTTGGCTGGGCCCTGCCCTGCTGACTCTTCCCTCTGGCCAGCATGGGATATTAGTCGTGGGAGGTGCCTCCCAATAGCTTTTTGAAGAATCAACACATCCTTATTTAGCACTTACTATATATAAGCACTAATGCTGCATACAAAGTTATTATGTAGTTACATAAACTGCCTTCGAAATGTAACTTTCATTAAACTTTTAAGATAATTATAGATTCAAGTGCAGTTGTAAGAAATAATATAGAGAGATCCACGGACCCTTTACTCAGTTTCCCCCAGTGGTAGCATCTTGCAGAACTGTAGTGGAATATTACAAACAGGATATTGACATGGATATAGCCAGGATACAGAACATTCTGCCTCCACAGGGTCCCTCCCGCAACCCTTTCATAGCCACACCCACTTCCCACCCATGCCAACCCCTCTTTAAGACCCGGCAGTCGCTGATTTGTTCTCCATTTCTAGAATTTTGTTACTGATATGGTTTGGCTCTGTGTCCCAACCCAAATCTCATCTCAAATTGTAATTCCCATAATCCCCACGTGTCGAGGGAGGGACCTGGTAGGAGGTTATTGGATCATGGAGGTGGTTTCCCCCATGCTGCTCTAGTGATAGTGAGTTCTCACAAGATCTGACGGTTTTGTAAGTGTTTGACAGTTCCTCCTTCATGTGCTCTCTTCTCTCTCCTGCCGACTTGTGAAGAAGGTGCTCACTTCCCCTTCGCCTTCCACCATGATTGTAAGTTTCCTGAGGCTTCCCCAGCTGGGTGGAACCACAAGTCAATTAAACCTCTTTCCTTTACAAATTACCCACTCTCCAGTATTTCTTTATAGCAGTGTGAAAACAGACTAATACAATTACATAAATGGAATCATACAGCATGTTTCTTTTGTACAGATGTTTCTTTTGTATCCTTCAACCTTGCTGAACTCATTTACTAGTTTTAGGAGACTTTTTTTTAGATTCCTTGGAATATTCTACATAGATGATATCATTTGCAAACAGGAATAGCCACATTTCTTTCTTTCCCATCCGTATGTCTTTTCATTCCTTTTCTTACTTTATAGCCCTGGCTAGAATTTCCAGCACTAAGCTGAATAAAAGGGGTGAGAGTGGGCATCCTTGCTTTGTTCGTTTCAGGGCTGGTTTTCTTCATTCCATGATATTCTCTGGAAATTCATGCGAGTTGCCCCGCACATCAATAGTTTTATTGCTGAGTAGTATTCCATGGTTTGGGGTGCTACAGTTTGCTAAACCACAGACTGTTCAAGGATGTCTAGGTGTTTTCAGTTTCTGTTACGAATAAAGCTGCTATAGACTTTTGTATGCAGGTTTCTGTGTGAACACAAGTATCCATTTCTCTGGGATAAATGCCCAGGAGTGCAATCACCAGGTCATATGGTAATTGCATGTTTCTTCTTTTATTTTTAAGAAACTACTAAAATATTTTCTACAATGGCTATAATATTTTATATTCCCTCCAGCAGTGTATGAGGAATTCTGTTTGGACACCTTCTCACCAGCTTTTGTTATAGTCAATTTTTCCCTATTTTAGCCATTCTGACAGATCTTTAAGAATATCTCATTATGATTTTAATTTGCATTCTCCTGGTGGATAGCCAACTTGAACATCTTTTCATGTGTTTATTTGCCAGCTGTATATCTTCTTTGGGGAAATGTCTGTTCATGCCTTTTCACTCGTTCATGCCATTTTCTAGTTGAATGACTTGCTTTTTTCTATTGAATTTTGAGTGTTCTTTATATATTCTAGATACTAGTCCTTTGTCAAATATGTGGTTTGCAAATATTCTTTCCCACTCTGTAATTTGTATTTTCAGCCTCCTAACAGGGTCTCTTGCAGAGCAAAAGTTTTTATTTTGATGAATCCCAACTTGTCCATTTTTCCTTTTATGGATTATGCTTCTTGGAATGAAGTCTAAGAGCTCTTTGCCTGGCCCTATATCTCAAAGCTTTTGTCCTAGGTTTTTTCCTAAGTTTTATAGTTTACATTTAGGTTCATGATCCATTTTTAGCTAATTTTTGCATAAGGTGTGAGATTTTGTTCAAGGTTCAATTTTTTTGCCTTATGAATGGCCAGTTGTTCCGGAACCATTTGCTGAAAGGCTGTCTTTTCTCCATTTAATTGCTTTTGCACCTTCGTCAAACCCGTTGGGCATATTTGTGCACGTCTGTGTCTCTGTGTCTGGGTTCTCGATCTATATGTCTTTCCTTCACCACTGCAACACAATGTTGTTCATGGCAGCCATATAATAAGTCTTGAAATCATACAGATTGATTCCTTCCACTTTATTCTTCTGTTCCGAATTTGTTTTAGCTATTCAAGTTCTCTTGTCTTTCCAAATAAATTTCAGAATAGTCTTATTCATATTTACGAAAAAAAATCTTGCTGAGATTTTGATAGGAATTGAGTAAAACTAGTGCATCAATTTAGGAGAAAATGACATCTTTACTATGTTAAGCCCTCTGATAAGTGAACAAAATATATTTCTCCATGTATTTAGATCTTCTTTTATTTCTTTGATCAGAATTATGTACTAGTAAATATGTAGTCCTGGCAGGGCTTGGTGGCTCATGCCTGTAATCCCAGCACTTTGGGAGGCTGAGGCAGAAGGATCACTTGGGGCCAAAAGTTCAAGACCAGCCTGGGCAACATAGCAAAATGCTGCCTCTATAAAAAATTTAAAAATTAGCCAGGTATAGTGGCATGCACCTGTAGTCCCAGCTACTAAGGAGGATGAGGTAGGAGGATCCCTTGAGCCCAGGAGGTCAAATCTGCAGTGAACCACGATCACACCACTGCATTCCAGCCTAGGTGACAGAGAGAGACCCTTTCTCAAATAAATAAATAAATAAACATACAATCTTACACATACTCTGTTACACCTATAGCAAAATATTTCATTTTAAGCAGTTGTAAATAGCATAGTGTTTTTAATTTTGGTGTCCATGTATTCATTGCTAGTATATTGAAATACAATTGGTTTTTTTATGTTTATTTTGTATCCTGCAAACTTGATGAACCCATGTACTAGTTCTAGGATATGTTTTGTAGATTCCTTGGAATAGTCTACATAGATGATATCATTTGCAAACAGGGACAGCTTCATTTCTTCCTTTCCCATGAGTATGTCTTTTAATTACTTGTCTTACCTTATAGTCCTGGCTAGAATTTCCAGCGCTCAGTTGAGTAAGTGGTGAGTGGACATCCTTGCCTTCTTCCTGATCTTACAGGGATAGCATTGTCTTCCACCATTAGGTGTAAGGTTAGCTACAGGTTTTTTGCAGATGACTTTTGTCAAATTGAGAAAATTCCCCACCATTCTTATTTTTCAGAGTTTTTCTCATTAACGGGTGCACATTTTCCTGCTCAATGTCACCTCATCAGAGGAGCTTCTCCCGCTACCCTCTCTAAGTTAGCCCACACCCTCCCTCCCTGATATGGTTTGGCTGTGTCCCCACCCAAATCTCATCTTGAATTGTACTTCCCATAATTCCCACATGTTGTGGGAGGGATATGGTGGGAGGTAATTTAATCATGGAGGCGGTTATCTCCATGCTCTTCTTGTGATAGTGAGTGAGTTCTCATGAGATCTGATGGTTTTGCAAGGGGCTTTTTCCCCCTTTTGCCTGGCACTTCTCCTTCCTGCTAGCATGTAAAGAAGGACGTGTTTGCTTCACCTTCCACCATGATTGTAAGTTTCCTGAGGCCTCACCAGTCATGTAGAACTGTGAGTCAATTAAACCTCTTTTCTTTATAAATTACCCAGTCTCAGATATTTCTAAATAGCTTGAGAATGGACTAATACACTCCCTGACTCTGCCTGATTTTTCTTTCTCACTCCGTCCAGGGACAACAGAAAGCAGCACAGGCATCCCATACTTGCAGCTGGGGCAGAAATGGACCTCACTCAGCCAAGGGGAGACGAGGCCAGCTGCGCACCCACACCCTCCATCCCAGGCAAAGACTAACATACAAAACATAGGGAAGGCTGAGCCAGAGGACGCGGCTCAGACTCAGACCAACCTACACTTCTTCCTCCTTCCCCCTGCTCTGAATCATGGCCTCAGCCCCTCTCACAGGAGGACTGGGCCAATTGGTAGTCAAGGCCCAGCCCAAGGAGGGAAACTGGAGGCCCACTGAGCAGGAGGACGGCCCAGATGGGGCAGCCACAGTCCAGGTTATGGTGGCTGCTGGACCACTTCTGTAGAAGAGGCTTGGAGGAGGGAGAGAAAAGGTGCTTCCTCCAACAAGAGGGCAGGAGGGTCAGTGGCCTTTGCTCTGTCCCCACTAGCCCCTGTAGCCCACCCTCCAGCTTCTTAAGCCCGGTGCTTGGGGAGTGGGGAGTCAAGTATTATTCTCCTGTTTTTTCTGTGCTTTGTCTGTTTGCA